ACTAACTATAATTAAATTATTTATTAATAAGTTAAATTAGGTTTCCAATCCTGCAAATAAGTAATATTTATTTAACTGAAAAATGTATTTAAAATTTATATAGAAATATTATTAAGCAAAATCTAGTTTAGATCGTATTTGATGCTTCTTCCTTGTATTATTATTTTATTTAATATGTTTCTTTGACATTGTATCTAACGTAATGCAAAGTTGCATACATTCGATAATAAATATTTCTTGGAGTTTATGTAGAAATTTGCTAAATATGTTACTGCTTTCATTCTGCAAATAAGCGTACTATTTGTTAAGAACATATTACATATATCTTTTTAATAAAATGAAAAAATGAAAAGATTTTCCTGTATTGTATTTAATGTATTTGAAAGTAAAACAGTTTGGCGACAATTTAGAACTTAAAACAAAAATTATTTCATTAAAACTCTAAAATTATATTGTTAAATATAAAAATTTACATATATTATTAAACTGTTTTATATATATACAACATTTATTTTTATGCAGAAAGCATAAATTTTCGATTTCAATCACTTTTTGTAGAGATTATACATCTGATATATTCTTAACTTTCCACAATGTTCTTGGCTTTCTATATTGTTTTACTTTTAATCCTTATTGCGTGTAATGTATGAAATATCCTTTGTTATTAAAATTAAATAATCTTTGTTATTAAAATTGTTTAAAAAATATATTATCAATAATTTTGTAAATAACTAAATTAAAATTTTTTACTACATTTATATAAATTAAAAGTTCTTTCGAGATTAGACCTATATCATTTTTTAAATGTTTTATATTCAAGTATTAAAAGTTATTTGGATCATTTTAAAATTGATATTCTGTTCACAATTCATAATATAAAACTACATTTATTTATCTATATTCTAAGATGTACAGAAAAAGATAGTATAAGAGAAAGAAGTCCATCACAGGCATACTACTACAATGCTGAATTATTTCATAATTATGCTTTCTAAAACCATTACAGAAAATATATTTTGTTCCTATTTTGTTTTTACAATTGTTACATCTACAGTATAAAAGTAGTATTAACTAAATACAATAATATTGTAAAATGATATAAAGCAGCTCTTTACATATCACATCTGAGGCAGAATAAATTGGAAACTATGAATTTTACATCACATTAGTTACCAATCGAGATTTGTATCTAAATCTTGTGAAAGCTTTAATGCTTTTCTTTTCACAAATAAAAACAAGAATACACTACAAATTTCTTTGAACCATTTTAATATCACGAGATTCTTTCTCTACGAACGCATCTAGACCTTTGTTTCTCCGTACAATTCAGGATATATATGTAAACACAATCTGCCGTAAATTCCATCTAGTGATTTTAGAATAACGTCGCTTTCTAAAGGATTCAGTTGGTACGAATAATAATAACGTTGAAGATATTCCATTAATCTCTAAGCCCATGGCTTGCTTTTGTGACAAAACTTTCCGTACCAGCCAGCTTCACAGAGGCATGTGTCGTTTGATTGACAGGTTCCATGTTTACACGGCTTGCTACATGTTGAACGTTGTGACGTTGCATGTGTGGTTGCAATTTCGCAGTGATTGCCTTTATATTCGTTTGAACATCTGCAGATATTAGTGCCCTTGCATTTTCCTCCATTGAGACAAGGAATAACGCATTTGGCTAAAAAGAGAAAAAATTATTTAACATAATAAAAATTTTCTAAATTTTATACGATTTTAAAATGTTCTTTGAGACCCATTGTTTGTACTCACAAAATTCGCAACGCAAGCCAAAATAGCCTTTTGGACAATCACAGATATCCTTTTGAATACACTTTCCTCCGTTCAAACATTTTTCTGTGCAGATACCTGTGCAGAAATTTGACATAGTTAGTCTTCATAAGTAGTGATAGAAACCTAACTTTTTGAAATTTTATACAGAAAAATGTTGCGTGTCAGAGGAGTGAATATACGACTGGCCAGCACATTAGCTGCCAGGAATTCGTCTGGAAAAGTACTCGATTCCGTAATAAGAGTCGATCATGCCGGCGAATTGGGAGCTGACAGAATATACGCCGGACAAATGGCCATACTAGGTATAGTTGCCTGACTTCATAATGTATGGTTGTAGATATAGAATTCTAATGGTTTTCTGCGAAACCGCAGGCAGAACGACGGTCGGACCGACTATACAGCACATGTGGGATCAAGAGAAGCGACATCGCGCCAAATTCGAGGAATTGATTCGCAAGTACCGAGTCAGACCCACCGTCCTCACCCCGCTGTGGAATATCGCCGGGTTCGCTTTGGGTGCCAGTACTGCTCTCATGGGCAAGAAAGCAGCGATGGCGTGCACTGTGGCAGTGGAGACTGTGATCGTCGAGCATTACAACGATCAATTACGTATGTTGATGGAGAATGGCGACAATGTGGACAAAGAAATACTCGAAACCATCAAGAAATTCCGAGATGAAGAGCAGGAGCATCATGATACGGGCATAGATCACGGCGCCGAGCAAGCACCATTTTACCAAGCTCTAACAAATGTGATCAAATGCGGCTGTAAAACCGCTATTTCGATTTCCAAAGTGATATGAACGCATTTGCAAGTGTTCGAAATTAAACGTTAAAGATGTAAAAAAAATTGTTACTTGTAAATAGTGTTGTAATTTATTTAATAATAGTAAATTATACTTTGAATTTATACATAAAGAATTGACTCAATAATATTCGAGATATCCCGAATTTAATAGAGCATTTTTTAATCACTAATTTTTTTATAAATTGCAATATTATGAAGTAATTAAAAAATGCAATTAAGTAAAAATAAATAAAAACACTATCATGTAATCACTTTTCAAGTGAACCTTCATGAATTATGTAACATATGTACTAATTAAAATCGATTTGTATAAACAATATATGTATAAAGAAGAAAATTCCAAAAATGAGATCCACTCGAAAGAAAAAAAAATTTTTATTTTCTAATTAAATTTTTAATTATATTTGATTAAAATATGTATATAAAAAAATAAAGTTTACCATTAGTTTATTTTTTCACAAAATCTTTCAATAGATACAATTGAAACATTTGTTCCATTTTGTAACATTTCAATATATCTTTTGCATAGACATTTGTATCTAAAACTAGCTGAACTAGTTTTACGTCTTTCCATTTTTTGATCTGATATCAAATGTTTTCCCGATAATGGTATTTAACTTTCTATGAAGATAGAAATCTGAAGGTATGCGAGATTAGGGAAATAGACGTGCGTTTTTAAATGTAAAGAAACTACTTGTCAATTTTATTCACAAAAATGGGATAATGCAGGGTTTTATACGATTTAAAATATTCAAACTTTGCGACAAACACTATTCATCGAAAATCTGTTGTAATGCTCATTCATACTTTTGTATGACAATGCAGCTCTACACAGCTATAGGAAAACGAATACTATAGGAAAACTTTTATATCTATTGAAAAAATAAGAAATTCTAGAGCACGTACTTTATTCTCTGACTTCGTACCCTCGCTTTTTCACCTTTTTGGAAAGCTGAAAAAATATTCGAGAAATATTGTGTTTAGAGGATCAAGAAGTGAAACATAAAACTGACTCGGCAACTTGAATACAAATTTCTATGCAAAAATTTTCTTAAAATTAGACGTAATACATGCTTGAACAAACGCTCGAATCTATTGGGAGATATAAAAAAATAAGTTAATACTAAATTTAAAATTTACTTTGTCACACATATTTCGAAAATTAAAATAAAATTTAAAAAATTTGTTATCTCTTTTAAGTGAACTCTACTTTTTTCCGTCATATATTTATGTAATTTATTATACCTCCTTCGCAGTAAGGACCCTGATATCCTGGCGGGCATGAACATATGCCTGGCGCCGTACAGTTACCGCCATTCATACAATTCGGATAACAAAGCGCTGTTTTACAATTAGGACCTAGATAACCATCTGGGCAAGGACCAGGGTTAGGCTCTGCAAAAATAAAATCCAGTTAAAAAATGGAATATTATCGTGATGTCTGTAAATACATTACACACATACACAAACATGAACACACATTTAATAATTATCTTTGTACGATTAAAAACGAGAAATATTTTGGTAACAGAACCGAACACGATCTCGCAGTTCAGTAGAATATCGTTTGGGAAAACATTCTAATTAATTTCGAGAAAGAGCGGCACGCTCACTCGTGCCTGGCGTCCAACTAGCGGTTACTCCAATAAGATATTTCTCTAACGCAATCTCATGTAGATTTAATCGTACATTCCTTTTCAAAAACTTTAGGATTAACTATGAAATTGAATACAATATATTATATTTTTATTTTATGTTATTAAAAAGAGAATATGTTTTAGTCTATGTAATGTAACATTTTTTAAATATTTAATAAATATATATATTTTCAGTAAAAAGATCGTTTAAAAGAACAGAACTGCTAAAATGAAACTTAATAGTGTATAAATTCATAAAAAAATATAACGATAATTAATATTAAGAATAATATACAATAACTGTAATCTATATCAATTTTGTTAATTTTGTCAATTTTTATAAATCTGTAATATTTTTTTCTCATTTTTATGGCACATACAAACCGTGGATTTCTTTCGATTGAATATTACTTATTGAAAGAAAAAACTTTGATGAGAAATATACATATTTAATTATTTCACATTTGCACATTCGACCTGCTATGTCACGAATTATCATTGATGTATTATCGCAGAAGCGATTGTAACGAAACGTTCGAGAGCATCATATTCTGTTATATCTGAATTCGAAAAGATGAAAACAATTATGTTACATGGATCGTTATTTGCTAGTCTTCTCATTTGTGATTTATATAATAAATTCAACCGATCGCATATGCTAAATAATCCTTTCAATCCTCGATATTATCGGAATATTTATGTATGTAAAATACTTAAAGTAGATAAACACATACTTGACTTAATGATTAGCATCTTGAATGCACAGAGATTGAGAGAATAACGCTGAGAAGGCAGAGCAGACTTGTGCGTTCTTTTGCATTAAGTAGGCAATTAGGCACTTAATTCATAATTCGCAGGCGAACAATGACTTAAGGAAGCATAGAACTGGCTAACGCTTAATAAATAAAGTGTCAGGCAAAATGAAAAAAATGGATACTAATATAGAAGATACAAGCATATAAAATGGAAAAAAATGACCGATCTAAAGCAATGTTTGAGTGAAAAAAATTTTTTTTAATATTAAGCTAAAGCGAGTATTCTTTGAACATTAGATAACAATAGTTAATTGCCAAATTGCAAAATGAAAAGTAAGGATTGGCACTGGTATAATTTCTCCAATCGAGTTCATATTTGCATGCGGCATGCATGCGATAATAACAATCCTTGTTCGAGGATAAATAAAACCCGATCTAATAAGATCCTTTCTCGGTACAGTATTGGAAATCGAGCTTAACGAAATTACATTCATTCCCGATCCTTACTCGTTAGCAACACTTGCCTGATGCATTAAAAAGAGCGATCGACATTACTCAACAATTTCAATTGTAATTAACATAATTACAAGACAGATGTATTATACTAAGATAGCGTTAATAAAATCTAGTTCTGAATGAGAGTGCTTTTAGGCAAAAGGTAAGCCACACAAAAGCGATCCACGTTTCCACCTTGCGAGCGACGATGGGCGCGAAATTGAGGTCCATTGTTGAGAGACGACGTTAAAATATATATTGTAGAGTCTTAAAGACCTCTTTCTCGCGTTATTTCTTTGTATAGATATCATAATGCACAGTAACATGCACTGAGAAAAAATGTACAAGTTTTAATAAATTATTTATTTGAACAGTACCAACTAAATATTTACTTCCAGCAAATGAATGTTTATATATTCGATAAAAAAAATTTTTTACTCAATAAATAATGTTTTAGTTAAATTAGATTAACTCTTATATATCAAATAAATGATTTATTAAGATTTAATTCATGTTTTCAGCTAAACACAGATAAGAAGACGGCGGTGTATGTACATAATCGAATCTTATATTTAGAACCGTCTATTATGAACTAATCAGAGAGTATTAGCATCTTAAGATATTATCAGACGATCTTAAAATAAGAACGAATTATGACTACTGTCCTCTATTCAATTAAAGCAGATCCTAATCCTTACTAATATTTTTATTATTAGACATTAAAATTAGGCAATAAATTTCTACAATTTCCAATTTAAATAAATTGTATGCCGATTGTTTATCGGTCTTGAAACACGATTTTAGACTGAAGCTGAATTACGTAATATTACAAATTAATTTAATATTAATGATGCTAATGAGCATTTTTTAAATATTGTAAAGAATTTATTATGAAAAACATAATTTCAGGATTTAAATCTGTGATCGGGGGTCTTCTGAATTCGTTCTAACTTCAATATAGGACTGTATTCCAAAACTGACAAATAATTGGCGCGATTTGATAGAACTGACAATTGTAAAATTTACGTAAAAATATTAGACACTAAAATCTGCTTTGATCGAATATGGCTTTCTTCATTGATCTGAGTTGAATATTTCGCGGACAATGTTCATTTAGCATGAGTAAACACGAACAAAAGTAACTGAAACACGTGCGTCCTCAGGAACTCGAGAAAATTTTGAGACTCAAACAAATCTCTTGTTTCCTTCCGTTTTGGTAACTGATGCCTCGAGACGCTTCGACGTGCTCCTTTTTGTAACGTGAGGAGAAAACGAGTACGCGTGTAAAATTAGCCACGTGCAAGTTTTGCGAAGGCGTTAGGAAAAGGTTCAAGTTAATCGATTCGCTACTCCCTTTGACACCTTGACAAACGCAAGCATCCTCGTTTCGACCGGGATCTCGTCGCGATGATCGAGGCTCGGAGCAACCGTTTAACGACGTAACATCCATAAATCTCCCACACTGTGGAGCGGTGGAGATTCGATGCGCCTCCTTCGCACAATTATCGGACCCATCGTTCCCGCGGCCGGCAGGCGGGCAGGTACAGGTAGATAATCTTTCTCTTACAAAGTATCAAAACGTGCGCTCATACGCGCATCAGGTACATGCCACGGCTGTCGATTAAATAAAAAAAAGAGGAGAGCCAGTCGGAACGAATGAACCATGCGCGAACCGGATTTCGTGGGCGCGTTTTACGCGCCGCGATGCAACATCCTCGCGAGCGGAGGCGAGGAAGAGATCCGGCTGATTCCTGACTGCCTCTCCCGCATCGGTCAAGAGCATGCAGCAAATTAGGCGATGAATTACTGCTGATACAGAACTGTATGTGCGAGTGAAGAGGTGGTGATCGTGGGCGCGACTGACGGACTCACCGCGCACGGTGCATTCTTTTCTTAAACTGAGACGGAGAGGTGTCCCGTTTAGAGGTTTTCCCTTAAGGGTCTCGATCATCAGACTGATCCCAAATTGCGCTATGCCCGAATTGCCGACGCAAGGTAGGAGAATGCTGAAATCTGCAACGGAAAAAAAAAGGGTGAGATCTGCTCGTTGTAACTGAATTTTCTCTATTTCCTACCTGTCTTCATTCATCTTCCAACGTTCGTAAGCGTTTTTCATTTTAATTTTGACTCTTAATTTCGATACTATTGAA